ACTGACAACAGCTGCGCCAGCATCCCCTGTCCTTCGGTTTTCTGGCGGCCCCCACAGTTGACCTCAGCTTATTCAGTCACGTATACACGTGCGCACACACCCGCACATACACGTGCGTCCAAATAAGCACGTCTTCCTAAGGGCTACTTACCACGCCACTTCTTTGGCCAAGGCAGCAGGGGGCCTTTGCAGGCGACAATCCCTCGGGCAATTGTAACAAACCAATAGCAAACCACTTGAACTCTCTTCACAATCCCACTGAAGCAACTGCCACCACTGCCTCATTCCCTCTCAGGTCTGGCTGGACGCAGTCAACACTAGCCCTGGCTTCGCCAGTGGCCACTGCCGCATGGGACGGCAAAAGGGAGTTCTGTACACAATAAACCACTCCTTCTGGTGAATTCTGTCTTTTACCTTCTACCTGGGATTTGGCCAGATGAAAGAGTGATTTGAGTACACCTGTAGTGACTAGCTAGCGTCGAAGTAAACTCCACTAGAATCTAACGACTGCGGTTGTCGACGTCTGGGAACAGCCAATTACAGGTGCTGCAAACCTGCGTTCTGGCACAGCGACGAATAGAAAGCCTGCACTTGTGAAGGCTGTCTCTCTGGACCACGGGGATTCCTGCAACAGCTACATTATATTGATTCTCGTGCAACCTAATTCCAAGGTATTTTACTCACACCAGGATATTGGCCTTTGAACGAACTTCTTTCCGACCGCCTGCGAAGAGCGTACTCTTTTTTAGACAGAAGGCATACAGCATGTAATTTGGTAATCGTGAATTCAAGTGCAACGGGCTGTAGGATTCAAAATTATTCGGTGATTGAGAATTCTTTAAAAGAAAAGGAAACTTTTTCTTCAAATAAAAAAAATAAGATGGCGTGATTTTTAATAAACGAGTACGACAGAACGTTTTTGTGCATATTTTCTATGAAACAAGAAAAGTGAATACTACCTAAATAGTTATTTGTTACAGAGTAGACTTTTTTCAGGTGGCTAGAAAGAAGTTCAGCCGTCCTTAGCCAGCCATACCGAATCTAGGTTTGGATAACTTGGATGCACCTAAGATTCGACGGTAACCAACAGGGCAGCGAGCCCGGGAGTCGATGTTAGGGGCTTGAACTCTACACTCAATGGTCGGAGAGTCCAGGCTAGAATTCTTGGCAAGCAAAAGGCGGGACTGACCAACGACATCTAAATCTCAGAAATGGCTATCGCAGTCTCCCTGATCTTCGGTATTCCTCTTTCAACTACTGCTTATTTCTAATTATCGAATAAGTGCTACTGAAACAATAGCAG